TCCTCAGCCAGGGCGCTACTGGGTAGCGCAGCAGACCTCTCCTGACATGCCCGCTGCTCCCCTCGGCAGTGAATTTCAGTCAATCTGCTTGTTCTATTCCCCACTCTGTCTCTGGTGAATCCTCTCACTCCCCACACCTCTGGCCTGTACCCCAGTTCTTGTATGCATAAATAAATAAATCTTAAAAAAATATACATTCACATAACCATTATGCTATTCAAGAATTTGGGAAATATTTAAGTATTCTCTAGAGATAACTTAATTTTTTTTAAAGATTTATTTGTTTATACAAGAACTGGGGTACAGGCCAGATGCGCGTGAGGGTGAGAGGATTCACCAGAGACAGAGTTGGAAACAGAACAGGCAGACTGACTGAAATACACTGCTGAGGGGAGCAGCGGGGGTGACAGGAGAGGTCTGCCGCGCCATGTGGGACCCTTGCCGGCCGGCTGGGATTGAACCAGCACTGCAGAGGCTGTGGACAGCCTCACAGTACTGCGCTCAACCACCTGCGCCACCAGGGGAGGCTGAGAAGATTTAATTTTTGACTCTCTTTAATTAGTAAACCACCATCAAGAACAAATACACTAGGTCTTTAAATAAGTCAAACCTCAACTCTACTCTACATACTTTCCACCTTCACATCTCATTTGGTTTAAAGAGACCCCTTCTTAGACAGTCTCCCTCCTCCAGATTTCTTTGAAATTTGTCTCTACGAATTGTTGTTAACCAGCTGCCTTACCCCAAAGGCACACCCATGACCTATAAGCTCTGGTCATGTCCCATATGACCTTCTGGCTCATTTTCCAATGTCTGCTTGTCCTCCGCTAATCTGTTCGATTTTAGGGCCTTCAATTCATATTTCATGTCATATATTTAGGGAAATTATTATTCCCCATATTTAAGGGAATTATTAGCTTAAAAGGCCAATATTTTCTTACAGTACAAACACAGTCCTTTCCAATTGAGGTTCCTGTGCCTATACTTGATGGCCAGAAATATCAGTGGAAAGTCGGAAATACATCATGCAAAACAATGGACACCTGCCAAGATTTTTAGGTTCAGGGAATGATAACTTATAGCTAAGGTACATTATCTCTATGGGCCTCCCCTGGTGGCACAGCGGTTGAGCACTGGGCTGCGAAGCTGCCTGCAGCCTCTGCAGCACCCGTTCCATCCCCCGCCGCCAGCGAGAATCCCACATGGCATGCAGACCTCTCCTGCCGCTCCTGCTGCTCCCCTCAGCAGTGTATTTGTCAGTCTGCCTGTTCTGTTCCCCGCTCTGGCTCTGGTGAATTCTCTCACCCTCCTGCGCTTCTGACTGTACCCAGTGCTTGTATAAATAAATAAATCTTAAAAAAAAAAGTTAAAAAAAGTACATTATCTCTAAAGAACTATTTCAGTACATCCTAAGAATCACTCCTAAAAGTTCTGTTTGTGTTTTTCTTTATTCAAGTCATAAAACCTCGAATACGTCCTGACCAAAAAAAATTCATGTTCATAAAGTCAGTAAAGGATTTAGCTCACTCTCATGACCATCATATAATAAACTAACTAAAGTTCCCAAATTGTATTGGCTTATATTCCATTTCACTATTCTAAGCTATAATCTTAAAGCTGTCATCATAACTTTCAAGATACAGGGCCTCCCCTGGTGGCACAGCGGTTGAGCGATGGGCTGCAAAGCTGCCCGCAGCCTCTTCAGCACCGGTTCGATCCCTGGCCACTGGTGAGGGGTCCACATGGTGTGGCAGGAGAGGTCTGACCCGCTGCTCCCCTCAGCAGTGTATTTCTTCATCAGTCTGCCTGTTTGGTTCCCTGCTCTGTCTCTGGTGAATCCTCTCACCCTCCCGCGCTTCTGACTGTACCCAGTGCTTGTATAAATAAATAAATAAATCTTTAAAAAAAAAAAAAAACTTTCAAGATACAGACAATTGAGCAAAGTCTCCAGAATCTTGCACCTATTACTTTACAGATGTGAAAATGGGGCTCACATATCTCTCCAAATGCTTATCTAAATCATTTGCACTGTCATTAGGAATTCAGCAGCTGGCTGGAAGCCTTATTGATATTTTGAAAATATTTATAACTATTTTATTCAATTTCATAAAAGTAATAATAATAATAGACACATAAAGTGTCACTATGTTCCATGCAAAAAATGCTTCAAATAACTTATATCTATGTATGTATTTATATCTACTGTATATCTAATATTGGTTTGCTTTTGTATTTCTATTTATTGTATGCATTTTGACCATAATTCTATCATTTTATAAAATTATAAAGAGCAAAAGTAAAAATTTCTGCTTCTATTCTTTTAGTTCTATTAACTGCTATTACAATTCTTTGCCTAATTTGGCCAGTGTGTTGCATATTCTTACTTAGTCATAAGGAAGGGTTTAAATTCCTGTCCATATTTATATCAATTTATATTGATATGTGTGTATGTGTGTGTGTGTACACTCATTTTGTTTATATATATATGTTTAATTTATGTTTATGCTAGTTTTCTGTGATGACAGTCAACCTATAGCATAAACAACACAATTTAGTTTATTATTGGAATGTGAAATATTTGTCCAAAGATGAAATAGGCGTCTTGTTAAAGTACAGTTCATTTGTGTATCCTTTTTTTAGAGTTTATTCACTTTGTAATATGAATTATGTCATGTGAATATAAACATATATAAGTATATATGTATACATACACAAATATACACACACACAAATGAATCATATAAGGTTACAATGTGCTATATACATTGACCTGCCATTGTGTTTTTTTTTTTTTTTTTTTTTTTTCAGGAAAACTGTACCATGAGTATCACTCAAAGTCAGTGTGCATGGCTCTTACCTTACCTTTTTAATGGCTGCATAGTATTTCAGACTATAGATGAACAATATTTAAACTGTTCTTTACTGATGTTAATTTGGGTCATTTCTCTTTTTCTGTCAGCAACATACAATACAATATTGAACATTTCTGTACAAAACTTTTTATGAATTTGTTTTAATATTTCTTTTGATCAAGCTTTAGAATGGCTAATTGCCAATTTAAAGGTATGTTCCACTCATTTAATGACAAGTAAAACAAAATTCTTATATATTTTGCTTCAAGAGGTGTCTGCCATACCATACTTCTAGAACAAATTGTAAATCTGAAATTAGGTATTTAATCTGTTCATTTCAAAGCATCCCAAATGACTGATAGAGTCAAAGTAAATACCCCACCAGATAATGCCACAATACTTTAGAGTGATGAAATGCTTAAAATAGAATATTTAAGTTAGAATTTGTAAATGAGATATAATTACAGCTCTTATAATGTGACCATGCTATAGTGACATGTCCAAGAGCAAATTCTTTCCAACATTCTTCCTATTGATATAAATGTCCAAGTGGTGAGCATATGTTTCTGGAATGTTTAATGTTTCTGTCTGCAGTTGGGCAGAGTTTGTCTTATTTTAGGGGAGCTATGTCATAGGTCAGTTAATACATTCTTATGTCATTATTGTATCCCCTCCAACAGATTTGATAGGCTATATAGAAATTTCTGAAAAAGTGACCTAAGCATTCCAATCATAACAACTTTATGGAGCATTAACATTTTAATACAATTTATGTAAGAAAGGAAGACTTTGCCAGAAGCACAGAATGCTCTGTTGGCATATAGTATGAACACATTGATCTTTTTCTGTAGAGTATTTGACTTCATTTAAACTAACTCATGACACGTTACTGATCTAGTTTGTTAGCAAAACCACAGTTTATGAAAACCAGATTTCTTTACCACAAAGAGAGATGGAGACTTTTTTTTCTCATTGCAGTTAGCCCCAGTGGAACAGAATTACGAACATTAGTTTTGTGTTAGGAGAATTGCAACTATGGATTAATATTATATTAAGCTAAGGGCAAGGAAATATGTTTTAATATGTTTACACGAAAGTATCCAAAATGCAGGGAGTTTTATTTTTTTTTTCAATGCCAATGGCTAAGTTGGATTCATGAAAGAAATTGTACTTGGATTTATATCATGATTATAGAGCACTACATTGTTGAAAGAATTTTGGGGAAATCCTAAAGATAAGACAAATTTTAGTCATGTTCACTAGCTAAACTATGCTCATGTAGCTCCACTTCAATCCTGCTTCTCTTATTTGGAAACTTCTTAGGGAGAATGAGAATGGCATCTATAGAACTAGTCAAAGGGATATCAGTAAGAAATATAATAATAATTTTAGTTCTTAGCTATTGAAAATAATGCTGGATTAAACATGGAGTTGCATATATCTCTTCAATTTGGTGTTCTTGTATTTTTTGAGTAAAGACCCAGAAGTGGTATAACCCAGAAGTGGTATAACCCAGAAGTGATATTCCAATTCCATATGGAATATCTATTTTTAACTTGTTGAAGAATCTCCACATTGCTTTCCATATTGGCACTTTTTAGTCAAGAGTTAAAAAGTAATCAATATATATGTAAATAGTGAATGTGTCAAGGTATTTAAATAGAATAGACATATTTTTGGAGGGTACACTGTTTTTTTATGCAAAAATGTCTTTTTAATATGTGATCTATAGACCTCTTTTATTATGATAAATATACACTTTGCAGGGAAAATGAAATAGGTCGACATAAATAATTGTTATTAAACAATAAAATGTCATGATTTTCTAGAATTTAGTGATCACTATTGAGATAGACCTTGAACTAAAAGTTATATGTGACTAACTCCAACTAAAAGAAATGAAACTGATTCTGTCTTCCACACAGTTATAAAACAATGTTTATAAGCTATTATGAATATAGTTAGTGAAATAGATAATTATGCTTTAATCTTTTAATATTTGATGGTTTCCCCAAGAAAATATTCTTTGAATTATATGGCTACACCATAGGGCAAAAGACATATCTACGCATCTCTTTAATCACAGAAAACAGTAAGTGATGCAAATTCAAAATTTCTAAAGCCAGATAATTTGTGTTTGCATCTTACCTTTCTTTTGCGAAGTCTGACTTGGTTGTCTGTGGGTTCTTGGGTGGCCAGACTCTCCTTTAAGTGTAAACACTGCATGTCATCTCCACAGCTGACCTTTGTAAAACTTTTGTTTTGGTGTTCTGAGAAAGCACTGTTGTCCAGGCCATCTTCAGCTGACATTCCACTAGGGCAGGAAGGAGGCTGCAGAAGGCAACTTCCAGAATCTGCTTTTAATAATGGTAGGCCTCTGCGTGTATAACTAATAGCCAAAAACTCATCATGTGCAATACTGCAGGTGTTTCTTTCATATTCATCTTTAGGGAAGTCAGGTTTCTTTATTTGCTGAGCAGTCATAGCAGAATTAAGCAACTGCTTATTAGGTACAGTATCTTTCACATTCAAAGAATCACATGCATTTACTTCAGATGCATCTTTAATTTCACTTAAGGTTATTTCATTACAAAGCTCCAGGCTTTTACCTATCATATCAACACCTCTTCGTTCCCCCTTTTCTTCTACCAGTGCTAAATCAGCTCCCCCAGCCATTCTGCAGGAATTGTAGGAATCTTGGTTAGTTTCCATGATGGGCAATGTTTTTACTAAGAAGCCTGCTCCTCTGATGTTATGTTGGTCTGATGTTTGATGCCCTTGAGTAGTTAAAATCTGTTTATCAGTAGGATATAAATCTGAATCAGTATCCTCATCAGACATATGCACTAGTGTTTCTGTACTAGCCTCCAGGGAAAAAAACTGATCTTCACCTTTGTGGCTGTCATTTTCATCTATTTCCATTGAAATGTGACACATTGACCTCTCAGGAAAATTTCTCAGCTCCGATCCATGACAGCAGTCTGGTAGTGAAACACATTTCTCTTTGCGGTCCACATTTACAGTTGCATCTTTTTCCATACTTGCCTCCAAACTGTCAGCTACTAGTCCATGATGACATGCTATGTTATAATCATCAGAATTAAAAGGCTGTCCCATCCACTGGGTCACATGCTCTTCCCAGCTTCTCTTTCTGATAGCTACAGACATGTCATCATAGTTTAACAACAGATACAGAGATATATTCCATATGATCCCAAAGGAGATGGAACTAGATGAAAGATCACTTCAAATTCACTGATTGTAGAAGAGAGTCAGTTTTGTCATTTCACCACCTATTCAAAATTTAAAAAATATATATAGTTCAGGAAGGATTAAGTGGTTTTATAAGGCTTTTATTTAATAGCTTTAATAGTTATTTCTTTAAGAAGCAGTCTAATATTAAAAGAAACATTCACATTTAATATTTTCTGGCTAAAATATCACTGATAATACTTTTAAATGCAGCTGGATTAACTTATTAATGAATAAAGATGTAAATATTGAACAGTTAAAACTCCATTAAGAAAATATTTAGATAGCAATATGTAATAAAATTTACTAGAAGAAACTTGTTGGTCTAGCTTATATGATTTCCTAATTTATTTTTGTGAAAACAAGGTCCTACAAAATCTATTCACTGGTTTGAATTGCAACACAGACCACCAGGAAATTGTTCATGCAAAACTTGAGTTACAGAGACAGCACGTGTAATGTATTAGTATATTAAAGAGTTAATGCACATCCTAAACTATCCAGATGTATTTTCTCTAGGGAATGACTTAAGAAACATGGAATAATTCAGTTTCACTGACATTAGCATACAATTCATGGATAAAAATGCCTTAGGAATAATTTACATACATCCTATTACTGCTACTACTAGCTAACAAGTTAGTTATTGTTTGAAGCTTAGAAAAATTAAAAAAAAACTTGCCCAAGAATATATCTAGTAAGTAAGTGAGCATTCTAATTAAGTCCTTGTTAGATAGCCAACAAACTTCATGGCTTCCACAGAATGAATTTCTACCTTCATTCCTCCACATATCGTTAGTCTATATGAGATGGAAACTCTTCAAGCAGGAATTTAGGTGAATCAAAATGAAATTGTGAGCATAAGACAATTAGGATAATTCTTCAGAAATTACAACCTCTTTTTTTTAAGGAGATTACTTCTATAAGAACGTGGCCATAAAATTTAAGTGAACCAGAAAACCAGGCATTAGGTAAAGTCATAACATAAACAAATTCCAGATATCCATCCTTTTGTGCCTTAATTTATTCAAATCCTTAGCTAGAGGAAACAAATTATGCCAGTATAACCTCCGTCTTATAAAAATGACAATCCAAAGGTTATCCCATAATGAAACCATATATAAAAGGCTATAAAAGAAAAATCCCAAAGAGCAAACAATTGTAGTTTTCACTCAACGCAAGAGCTATCAGCACATAACATAGATTGGCTTATTGGTTTCAGCCATAAACAAAATTAATTGCTGTGCTGATTTTGGGTCAAATCAATCTACTGAGAAGAACTCTGACTTCTCACCAAAAATTTCAAGTTGTTCTGACTAAACACATGTCAGAAAGGTAAATATTTCCATCCTGTAAATAGCAGCAAAATTGAGGAATGTACTATAATTTTGGTACCCCAGCCTGACCATGTATCTTTCTGGATACAATTTGGTTCCCTCGAAGGTCTATGACCATCTTTGAAAATGGTAAGCATTCACATTTTCCATGTTGGCATTCACTTCACACTCAAAAGAAAATATAAAGTCCCTGAATTCCATGCATAAGTCATTATAGTGTGGGAGGCTATGGAAAGTGGAAAAAACGCATAGATACAGGCCAGAAAATTTCTGCTTTCATGGGCAAATTTGGTTTGTAATAGGGTGGGTTTTGTTTTAGATGCTTTCTTTATTTTTATCCAGTGTAGAAAGAGCAGACTAACAAGAAATGCCAAGTGGTATTATCACATCACTCCTAAGCCACATTTACATTTGAGACTGAATTCTGGTTTCATTTGTTTTACTAAGGAGAAATAGTTTCATTAACCCCTTAAAGAAGCGATTACTCAAAAATTTTGCCTTTAAGAGCTTACAGTAATTTTAATTAACTTATTTCAGTCAACCTTGGTAAATAAGTAATTTTATAACGTCAAAGAAAGAGAGTTCAGCAAGTGCTGACACTAAACGTGAAGAAAGATAGCACATTAGGTTCAATATACCATTAACTCCTTCTGTCTGAATTTCTAATCTAGGTATTTTGGGCATTTTCAAATTATTCCTGTGACTATACAGTGTCTTTATTTTTAGGACATAAAATTTTCTCATTATCACTATGGCCATCCTTATACTATTTCTAATGCTCATTTCATATCCTGTGGCCTTACAGATTTCCAAAAAATAAACGTCTTCTTATTGAGACTCCGTATTTCAATACTGATTTGTAAGATTTATAATTAAAACTTGCTTCCATGATCTGAAGCCTGAATAGAGTATTGATAAAAAAGGTGCACTGAATTATTGTCAATTGCATCTAAGCATACTGGCCCTGTTTTCTAAATCAGATGAATTGATTAGAACACATTCCGTAAGACTAAGAACTCTTTATAAATATATTGACTTTTCTTATGAGGTCATTTTATTTAAAATATTTCTACCTACTGACTACTTCTACTGTAAGTATCTGTTATTCTTTTTGTAATCCTTTTTTTTTTTTTTTTTATAGAGGCATGCTTTATTTATTTGTTTGCTGGTTTGTTTGTTTGTTTTGTTTATACATGCACTGGGTACAGTCAGAAGCGCGGGAGGGTGAGAGAATTCACCAGAGCCAGAGCGGGGAGCAGAGCAGGCAGAAGGACCGAAGTACACTGCTGAGGGGAGCAGCGGGCGGCAGGAGAGGTCTGCACGCCATGTGGGACCCTCCTCCAGTGGCCGGGGAGCAGCCGGGGATCGAACCGGCGCCGCAGAGGCCGCGGGCAGCTTCGCAACCCAGCGCTCAACCGCTGCGCCACCGGGGAGGCCCTCTTTTTGTAATCCTTTTAATGAAGTTTCATTTAGAATCAGACAGGTTGCTGAGGATTGAGATGAAATGTGTGGAAAAGTGTAGGTAAAGGATTCAAGGAATATGCAGTAATTAATAAAAGAAATAAAATTATACCACATCAAGAAACATCATCTGGAAATTTCATAGTTTTGGAGATAAGAAAATAATCATAAATGGCACCAGAGTGAAAAAAAAGAGATTATATATTAGGTATTGGGGATTCAAATGGTATGAGATTTCTTATTAGCAACATTGGAAATAAGACAAACAAATTGTAACATCAACATTCTGACAGAAAATTAGTTCTACCTTAAAATTACATGAGGAGTTTTCCCCCACTTCTCAAGAAGTGATTGGAGGGTTAGTTTCACCCAATGAGAGCAAAAACCAAATGGGCAAGACATGGCAACAAGGAATCCAAGAATTCAGCATTAAAGACCAAAGTATAGAATTTTCAGGATGACATTTCACATAAATCTTAAAGTTCTCTACTAGGGATGTCTCTAAGGAAAAAATAAGGAAATAATAGACTATATGATGTATGTTTACAGCTTGAGGGGATTTTTATAATAGTTGGATTTGAGTGGATTAGTAATTATTACTAATTAGTGATAATTATACATAAAATTAGGTAAATCAATTATTAACTCCAGAAAAAAAAAGAAATGAAACGGAATCAAAGTACCCAAACTGGCTTACTGGTAACATTTTTTATATGTTAAAATAAGGTAAGAGAGTAAATACTGACTTAAAAATTTTGAAATAACTATTTTTTCAACATAAGGTTTTGTGAAGGATAGGTTTTGTGATGGTGAGAAAAATACTTTTAGAGTGCTAACTATTTTGTATAGTAGGACATTAATAGATAATGTCTAATATGGGGAAAAATGGTATCACATTGTTTACAAATATGGAAGTATCAGGAGAAATAGCTAAGAACAATTTATTGTGTTATGATTCTATGTTATTTGCTTCAGATAAAGGGAAAGATTCTTATCTCTGGATCTCAGGGAGCATTTTAACTAATAATCTGAATTTCTGTTCTAAATCATGTTCCAAAGCAGTAACTTAACAATTTTAGACAATATGTAAGTATGCTCTCCACTGTACATCCAATAGGTCAAAACTATTCCCTTTATCCTTCCCCTATTTGCCACATCACTGCCTCACAACCACAAATACCTGACTTGTACCTTTAGCCAAATAAAGGTGCTAGCTGGGTATTTATATTGTGCCAACAATGTCCATGTAGTTTTCCATGAGCTTCTTGTGTGATTTCTTTTATAGCTTTCTTTCCTCCCTCAGCCCTTCTGGGAATTCCTGAAATTCAGGACAGGTATTCTAGGTAACCACCTTAGACATAATCTTTCTGAAGAGTGCTGTCAATAGAAGTTTAAAATAGGGAGTATAATATATAAATAGCTGTCAATGAGAAACGACATTCGAAAAGAGGAATTTCTCTACTACATTGTCCCCAAATTTAGTGCACACCTTACTCATAGTACTTGTAAAGACAGCTTTTTTATTGATTCATTCCCTCAAATGTAAGTCTCTACTTTTAGAACACAGATAGTTTGTGTGTATGCATATATGATATGCATACATCACACACATGTATATATGTATGACCACATGTGTATAAACAAATGCACACATGAACATGCTTACATTGCTATAAATAACAACATGTGTGTTATATGCAGGTGTAAATATATATATATATATATATATATACAGGCTTTTCCTGCTATCTGAAAGCAGAGTGTCCCTATGAAAATTTCCTATGCTAAAATGTCATAAAGAAGTAATTACCATTAGTTTAAGTGGAAGTTTTTGAGCCTACCCAGACCCAAAAATTAACTTACCAAATCATATCTAAAAACATGCAAAACCTATAATATTACTAACATATAAAAGCAGGAATGATATGATAAATATGCAGCCTGCATAAAGTAGTTCCCACAGAAGGAGTTTGATGGCGTTTTGAAAATGGCTGCTGCAAAACAAACATGTGCTGGGTGGTGCATTATCTGCCTTTTGCTTTTTGTCACAAGAGTGGAAATTTTCCTCAAATTTCTTTGTTAGTGAAAACAGGATAATGTAGATCTTCTATAAAAGTGTTAGAATGTGAGATTTTGAAATGTGGGATATGTATGTCTATGTATTACATATAAAGTATGTATAAAATGCACACATATATCTATAAACATAAATATGATTGGCTCCTAGGATGTTTTCATATACC